TCTCCTCTTCTTCCTCCTCCTCCTCCTCCTCCTCCTCCTCACAGGCTGTCTGTGGTGGGGAGGGGGAGGGAAAGGAGTTTGTTAGCCGCTCTGAGACTCCTTTGGGTAGTGAAGGGCAGGGTATAAATCCAATCTCCTCCTCTTCCTCCTCATATCACCTCTTAGTCATCTCCTCTCCAGGCTAAACATACCAAGCTCCTTCAACCTTTCCACTTGGGACTTGGTCTACAGACCCCTCACCCTGTTTGTTGCCCTCCTAGAAGTACGTTCCAGTACTTGGTTGGGAGACTACCAAGGCAGTCCAGGGCTGCTGGGCAAAGGCAGGCAATGGCAAACCGCCTCTGATCGTCTCTTGCCTTGAAGACCCTACAGGCTCGTCATGAATTGGCTGCAACCCGATGGCACTTGACAGACAGCAGGCCGATGTGAAAGAAACCATGTGTGAAGCATTAAAGGAGAAACTGGTGGTGGTTCTTGACAGCACGGTCATTTCACGTACAACTTTGCGTTTCTTTCCATGCCTTCCAGGTACGGCCAAAGCACGCTCATTCAGTTTGAAGACTTTGGAAACCACAACGCTTTCCGCTTTTTGAGGAAGTATAGGGAGAAATACTGCACCTTTAACGACGACATACAAGGTGAACAGCGCCCTTTTGGTCTTTTCGTGGATGTCTCTGGTTAGACTCGGCTGCCTTTATGGGTCTGGCTCCATTCGACCCTTCTCAGAGGTTTGTTTCCTTCCGTAGGGACAGCGGCGGTAGCCTTAGCTGGCTTGCTGGCGGCACAGAAGGTTATTGGGAAGCCCCTCACAGAGCACCAGATCTTGTTCCTTGGTGCGGGAGAGGTAAGCCACACCCTTGATATGATCCAGAGGAGTTATCCGTGTTAATCTGTTGCTGCAAAACAATAAAAAGCCCAGGAGCCCCTTTAAGACTAATAAACTTTATTGTAGCATAAGCTTTCGAGAAACACAGCTCTCTTTGTCAGGTGCCTCTGACGAAGAGACCTGTGCTTCTTGAAAGGCTACAATAAAGTTTGTTAGTTGTCAAGGTGCTACGGGACTTTTTACCCTTGATATGAGTGCACCATCCCTCTGCCATCTCTTAGGCCGACAATGATAAATGTTTTGATGGGTTGTTCTGCACCCAAGTTCGGTGTAGTGGTTAAGTGTGCGGACTCTAATCTGGGAGAACTGGGTTTGATTCCCCACTCCTCCACTTGCAGCTGCTGGATGACCTTGGGCAAGCCATAGTTCTGTGAGAGCTGTCCTTAAAAGGGCAGTTCTTGAAAAAAGCTCTCTTAGGCCCACCTACCTCACAGGGTGTCTGTTGTGGGGAGGGGGAGGGAAAAGAGATTGTAAGCCACTCTGAGACTCCGAGTGAAGGGCGGGGTATAAATCCAATCTCCTCCTTCTCCTCCTAGTAGGGTTAGAAATATGTATCTTCTGCATGCACGTGCACAAAGGGGAAAAGGTGGGGGGAAGCAGTGGTGTTCTAAGGAGATAAACCTTTTGGGTAAAATGTAAAAAAAATAATAATAATTTGCCTTGGAAGCACAGAAGCTTTACTTTGACAGTATCCCCGACCCTCCAAGTTTCCCAGTTAAGGGGGAAATGCTGTTCAAACAAATTACAAAGATGATCTGACTCCAATGGCAACAAGGGAAAGAACTTTTACTTACAAAATTAGAAGCACATCTTACATAGAATCAAAGAGTTGGAAGGGGTTCCCAGGGTCATCTAGTCCAGCCCCCTACACAATGCAGGGAATTGTGCAGGGGGTTGGACTAGATGACCCTGGAGGTCCCGACATGACATACTCATGTTGGTATATTTAATTTACTGTGAACAGATTCACTTCAGAAAGGTTAACTCGCTACAGGCCCAAGCCCATGTAAGAAAGAAGAAGAGAGGTCCTATATAAGATGAAATACAGAAAGCAAGCAATGGCCAAAGAGGCTCAACATCTAAGTGATGAGAGGGTGGGGCCACCTGCCCAGTGTGTACCCAAGAGAGAGAATTCTCTTAACCCTTTCTCCGCCTCTAGATCCTCTTGCATGCAGAGTTACAATATTCAACAAAACTAAGCTCTGTACTGTCAAGAGCTGGCTTTTGCAGCCTGTCTAGTCATGCCGGCCACATGACCATGGAAACGTCTTCAGACAGCGCTGGCTCTTCGGCTTGGAAACGGAGATGAGCATCGCACCCTAGAGTTGGATTCGACTGGCTTTCGAGCAAGGGAAACCTTTACCTTTAGTCAAGTTACGCTTCTCTTGATCATATGCGCAAGACCGTTTCCAAAGTCTTGGGGTTGGGGAGCCCTGCGCTAGATGACTGATCAGCTAGCTAAAACTCCTTCCATGAATTAACAGTTGTGAAAATTTACACCGTCTCAAATTTCTGTCCCCTCTCTCAGGCTGCCCTTGGAATTGCGAATCTCATCGTCATGGCTATGGTGGAAGGGGGACTTTCCACAGAAGAAGCCCAAAAGAAGATATGGATGTTTGACAAATTTGGCTTACTGGTTCAGGTGAGGCTCTGGGCTGCGGTTTGGAAGGACGAGAGCTGTCTCCATCCCCCTCTTGACTCGGTTTTGACCATCAGAAGTTCTCTGCTTTAAAACTTTTAGGGCCGGGAACAAAAGGTGGACACCAACCAAGAACCCTTCAGTCATCCAGCCCCAGACCAGGTGCCCAAGACCTTCTTAGAGGCTGTGAACGTCCTTCAACCTTCTGCCATCATTGGTGAGTTTTTCCAGTGTGGGCACCTTTGGAGTTCTGACCCAGGGTGGTGGACACAATTACAAAGTGATGGCTGCAGTAGGCAAAGTCAACAGGCCCATAGCTATGATGGGGCTTTGGGGGGCCCTTTCTTAAAGGCACAGCCCCACAAGAATTGCTCCTGTAGTTACTTTTTCCCCAATCATTTCTGAACACTTTTTAAAGGCATGCACTCCTTTAAGCAGAGGGGGGTGCTGTAGTGGACTGATTCCCGCACTGAGCAAGGGGGTTGGAGTAGGTGACCTCTAGGATCCCTTCTAACTCTGTGTCAAGAAACTGGTCTCCTTTAAGAGAGTTTTTCTAAGTGTTTCCTGGACTCTAGTGTTTTCTGGACCCCACCTGCTGGCTTGTTATCAGAGTTGTTGCTTAGGCTGGCAGAAGTGATTAACTTGCAGCAGCTGAGAACTGCCATCTGGCTTTTCTTTCTGCACTGAGAACTTCAGCCCCATCAGGAAAAAAAGCGCCCTGCAAGCCACAAAGTCCTGGCTACGGGCCTGAAAGCCAACCACAAAATGACTGGGAGCAAGGTTATAAATAACTCTTAGAATAAGTCTTCATTTCCGGTAGAAGCTCTGTTTAACAGGGCACCTTTTTAAATCTGCACCACGGATCAGAAACCCTGATGCATGAATACCCTACTTATCTCTTCCCACTTTCTGAAAGCAATTGGTGGGTGCCAGGAAAGTTGTTGGCAGGTGACATGGGGCCCATGGGCGCCGCATTGGGAACCCCTGCCCTATGCCATTCTTCTAAAACATGCCATGCTTTTTCTCCTAATGGGAGTACGTGCCTGACAGGGTGTTAACGGAGGACGGATTTACTTCAGATGACTCAGGGCTATTTTTGGGCAGGAACGCACAGGAACGGAGTTCCGGCTGGCTCCCAAGTTGGCCACACCCAACAGGAACTCATTAGCATAATAGGCCACACCCAACAGCAGAAACGCATTAGGATTGGCTACATTAGGGGTATGTGGCCTAACATGCAAAGGAGTTCCTGCTACAAAAAAAACCTCTGGGTTTTGACAACAAACAAGGTAAACAGAATAACAAGCAAAAGGTGGGTGTGGCTGGATGACCACACTTCTGGTAACATGGGGTTGCACAAATTATCAATAAAACTTATATTTAAGAAAATGTGCTAATGAGCTGTGCTGGCGTGGGTGTGGACTAATATGCTAATGAGTTTCTGCTGTTGGGTGTGGCCTATTATGTTAATGAGTTCCTGCTGGGCTTTTTCTACAAAAAGAGCCCTGAGAGGACTGATTTACAACATTCAGACTCATCCCCCGGGGATGGGTTCACAAACTTATGTGTGTGAATGGGCCATCACCCAGCTGCGGAACTTTGCTCTGCGGTTTTGCATCTCTCCACACGACCTAAAGCCCCAGTGGAATCGGTTGACATACTCAGCTGCTGGTAATCAGGGGTGGAGATCCTATGCAGGGTGTGATCCTATGCAGACTTTCACCCTTCTGAGGCCACGTGCGATTCTGTTCAGGATTAGACTGAGAGTGGTGTGCGTGCAAGTGTGAGCCGGGCCTTGACGACGTGACATCCAAATGTGTGAATTTATTTGCCATAAGGATTATAGAAGTGTTGGGTGAGCAAAGGCTGCTGTTCAAAAGAGCCAAGGCATCTGGTTGATGTGTTGCTATCAAGAATGTATCTAAACTATAAGTAAATTAATTGGAGGTATATTAAAATATGATTGTGGTTATGTGCATGTGAAAACCCAATAAAAATACTTATCAAAAAAAAAAAAAAAGAGCCAAGGCATACTTTGATGCAGAAGCCACACCATGTCATAAGAACATAAGAGAAGCCAATGTTGGATTAGGCCAATGGCCCATCTAGTCCAACACTCTGTCAGTGGGGCCAGGACACTAGAAGCCCTCCCACTGTTGCCCCCCCAAGCACCAAGAATACAGAGCATCACTTGCCCCAGACTGAGAGTTCCTATCTATACCTTGTGGCTAATAGCCATCGATCGACCTCTGCTCGATATGTTTATGTCCACTCTTTTATTCGGGTGGATTGACAGTGTTGGTAAACATAGCTGAGGCATAGAAACATTCCCCCAGTACCCAATGAATGCTTTTCCCTGTCCCAGAAAATGTTTTGATTTTTTTCATTTTGAAATGCCCTCCTTTTTTCCATCTTCCAATCTGTTCCAGGAGTTGCAGGCGCTGGCCGGCTCTTTTCCCATGACGTGATTCGAGCGATGGGCTCCATCAATCAGAGACCAATAATATTTGCACTGAGTAACCCGACTACGCAAGCCGAATGCACGGCCGAGGATGCATATACGTTAACAGAGGTATGTCATATATCTTATTTTTGTGTGTGTGTTTTTGTATTTTTGTGTGTGCGCGCGTGTGTCTGCACATGGAAGTCGTGGCGACCTCTGGCGACTGACCCCTACTGGGGTCAGAGAGGTGGCTGCATAAAGCCTGCCCCTGTCCTCCCGACTGCTGGTATTCCAAGGAAGTTCCTCATCCAAGTGCTAACCACAGTCAACCCTGCTTAGCTTCCGAGATCTGACGCTATCGGGCTTGCCTGGGCTATGCAGGTCAGGGCAGTGATATATTTTAAACTGCTGTAATACACTTTTCTCCACGGTTGGCTCCGCATTGAGGCAAGGTAAGCTGGTGGAAACTTGGTTAGTAGATTTTGTGGGGGCATTTGCCTCTGCTGATGCCCCATTCAAGATCTGGATTGGGATAACATTTCTTCCCTTTTCTGATTGGATCTTGCTTTATCTGTATCCCATGACAAATCTCTGATCTCTCTTTCCTTATCACCTCTATGTAACAACCAGATCCATTCCAGCAAATTTAACAAGATGCTTTTCTTGCAGTCTCTTTTTCCTCGCTTGTGTGTTCCTGTTGCTAAACGGTTTTCACCTGTTCTGTCTGTGTTTTACACTCTCTAATGGCTGATTTGATATTACATCTCTTTATGTGTGCCATATCTCCCTGCAGGGTTAAACTGCAGGTTTTTATCCCGAACGTAAAGCAATGTAATATCAAATTGGCCACTAGGGGGAACACAACATGCATGGAACAACCCCCGTCTCCCCAAAGCAACAGGAACAAATAACTGAGGAAAGTGAGAGTGTGAAAAAGCCCACGAATTCACACTTGAATAATTTACTATGGCTGCGGTCACACGGAACATTAGCCACGCCAGAGAGATGGAAGATAGGCGGATTTTCCGGGCGCGATCTCACCGGCACATCTGGGAAGCGTAGCGCTCCCGTGGCTCAACTGAGGCTTCCCGCCGAAGACGCGCGGCAAAAAACTAGTACCTCCGAGGTACTAGTTTCCGGAAACCGTGGGGCAAGGGCATGCGCGTGATTGCGTTCACGGTGGAATCCTGTGGCATCCGGCGCCCGCCCATGTCCCGTCGCAAGCAGGTTTTTTTCCCCCCAAGTCCCCATAGGATGCGCACCAGCATGCAACCGCATATGCTGGGTTTTGCTCATCCGATGCATGCGCATGCACGAAGTTCGATGAAAAAAATAATAAAACCCGGTTTGCCACGGAAGCGGCGCCGAGCGATTGCTGGTGTGATCGCGCAGCGCCGCTTCTTTGCCGCGCTGCAGGATGGTCGTGTGATCGGCACCTCCCCCATGACCACGGAACCTTGACGGGACCTCGAGGGGCGGTATGATCGCGCAACCGCGCGTTATTTTGCTCCGGGGCAAACAGCCACGCTTCCCCACCCCCGCGTTTTCCTGCCCGTGTGACCGGGACCATAGGATATTTTCAGCCCCGTAGCCAGAAATTCTGGGTTGGTGGGGCATGGAGAAATGTTGTGGGGCAGCAGGGGGAGGAGGGATGGAGAGGGCGGCCGCATTCCTTCCCTGAACTCCCAGCTGCGAATTCGGCACATGGAGTTCAGGCATGGGCAGCCCCACTTGAAAAAACCCATTTAATGGTGTTCCCTTTAATGGTGTTAATTGTGTTTTTCAAGCAGGGGCTGCCTGTGCCTGAACTCCAAGCGGCAAAATCACCACTTGGATTTCAGGGAAGGTGTGCTGCTGCCCATCTCCCTCCCTTCCTGCAAGTTTTAAAGGGCCCTCGGAGGGGGGCAGCAGCTGTTGTGGGGCATGCCTCACATTTGAGGGGGCAGAGCCCCGAAATGCCCCACTGTAGCTATGGGCCTGGGTATTTCTCTCTGCTAAGACTCCCCACCGCCTCTGCCATTTATAACTCTTGTTATAAAAAATGTCTGCAGAATGATTTTACACTCCGTGCTTTTGATGAAGTGGGGGCTCGATTCCCCAAAGTTTACTCTGTAATGACAGTTTTTGGGTCTCCCTTTTATTTTTACTGCAACAGACTGGGCAGGTCCCTTTTGGAAACTGTGAGTTGGTTGCATGAAGAGAGATTGAATGGCTTAGGGCAAGGGGCCCCAGCGTGGTACCTTTCCTGGTGCCCCCACAAAGTTCTTTCTGAGAGTGGGTTGGGGCTAAGTGGGGTGTTTGCCCAGCGGGGCTTCTGATTGGTGGTGTAGATTAAAACGTAGTAAGACACAGGGAGGGGAAAACAAACCTGACCCAAAAACTGGAATCAAGAACCACGAGGGTAAGAAAGAAGTCTTGATAAAGGGCCAATATTAAAAACCTAGTTAAAACTTATAATATACAAAAACACATGTATTTATTAGAAAGGCAGTTAAAAACAACTAAGGGCCCAATGAAAGCCGCATTGAAAAGTTCAAGTGGCCTGAATGCAAGGGCCCATACACATGACCTGACACGTTTCCACCCTATTGGGGTCTATTGATCTTGCTGCTTAACCTTCCTTTTCTTGGTCCAGTATTAACTTATTGGTTATTGTATTGTAATATGTAATATTGTAACGTGTACCTCAAACTGTTTGACTTCTGAAGAAGGCCCCCAGTAGGGTGGAAATGCATCAGGTCGTGTGTATTGGCCCTTGTATTCAGGCCACTTCAACTTTTCAACAAGGCTTTCATTGGGCCTTTAGTTGTTTTTAGTAGATTAAAAGGTACCCTTTTGGACAGAGTTTCTCCCTGAAATGCTGACGACGTGCTATGGAAACCTACGTGTGTAATCTTGCTTCCTGATGTTTTGTGGTTGGCTTCACCTCCTGCAACAGCCATTTTGTAATTGTGCTCTCCACCTTGTGCCAGAATTCCGAAGGTACCCATAGGCTCAAAAATGTTGTGGGCGCTTGGCTTAAGGTTACGCACTCGGGTCCTTACCTGAGTGGAGATTCAAACCTGGTTTCCCCAAATCCTAGTCCAGCACTCTAAGCACTACACCACACTGGCTGTTTAGCATCCCAGACCCTGGCTGAGTTCTCCAGGGTCTCAGGTGGAAGTCTTTCATGGGTCCTACTACTTTGGCAAAATAAAATTTGGGATCACTACGTGATGGACAAAATAGCGGACACATATGAAACACACACACATAGGCAGGCAGGGTCACAATCTAGGTTTGTACGAAAGTGGTACGCTCTAATAGTGTACTTTACAGAAAATGACGTCCTACCAACAAATTGCGGATACTCTGAATGGATGCATTTATAAGTTGACAGTTTTTTTGAGGTCTGAGCACTCTCATGAACAGCTTTCCGAACTAGTTTAGTAGAATTGCAAAAAACTTATATATCACTCGTAGGTTATTTAAAAACTTTATGGATTGGACACACTGTAAATTACAAGTATTATTATATGCAATGTCACTGTTATACACTGCTTTTTTGGTTCATGCATAGTAATTCTTGCGTATACTTGACTTATCACCTAATAAAAACATTAAATTGTAAAAAACAAAATGTCTCCTACTACTTGATCCTTTGAACTGGAGGTGCCGGGGATTGAACCTGGGACCTTCCACACACCAAGCAGCTGCTCTACCACTGAGCCACGGTGAAGCTTGCAATGTGTATGCTTGCGGAATCAACTTCTGAAGATGTCCTTTCCCCTCTTCCCGTTTAACAGGGGCGTTGCCTTTTTGCCAGTGGCAGTCCGTTCGAGCCAGTGAAGCTGAGCGACGGCAGAGTCTTCAAACCGGGCCAGGGGAACAACGCTTACATATTTCCAGGTAAGAGCTAAAAAGCCACCTTGTTTCTTTCCTGCGGCTCCAAGACTAGGTGACTGAGAACTCTTTCAGCCTGGAAGAAGCCAGAGGCCTTGTTCGTTTGGAGGTGCCTTTGGTTGGATATTGTAACTCTGCTTGCAGGAGGATCTGGGAGGGAAAGGGTTGAGAGAATTTTCTTGCTCGGGCACACTTGGGAGTTGCCCCCTCCCATCAGTTAGATGTTGCGCCTCATTGGCCCCCACTTGCCTTCAGTTTCATCTTATATATAGGACCTCTCTTCTTTTCTCTCTTACCTGGGCTTGGAGCTGTAACGGGTTAACCTTTTTGAAGCCAGTCTGTTCACAATAATAGATTCAGGTGGGTAGCCGTGTTGGTCTGAAGCAACACAACAAAGTTAGAGTCCAGCGGCACCTTTAAGACCAACAAAGTTAAATCTGGGTACAAGACTCCATAAAATATGTTCCCCAGAGACCACTATGGTCAGGGTTGCAATATTGCCCAGCCCTCCCTGGCCCTAGGGACACCAGGCTGGTATCAACCAGGACCAGGGCTTTTTCTGTGGCAGCTCCAACTTGGTGGAATAAGCTTCCGGAAGAGACCGGGGCCCTGTGGGACCTTTCACAGTTCCGCAGGGCCGCGAAAATGGAGCTCTTCCGCCACCCACTGCTCAGGCTCCACTGGACTCTTTTGGATTGCTAGCTATTGGGAGGGGGGGGGAGAGAACGTGCAGATCTGCCCTCACAGAGGAGGGAGAGTTTGTACCTGAAGGTGGGCTGGGGGGGAGGTGCTCTGCAACTTACCTGGCTGCTTCTTGCTCCTCATGGCCTGACTGAGGACTGCTGGGAGCAGGGGGTGGGGCTTGTTGCATGTGCCTGCCCCCTGGGCTCCTGTGCGCTCCCACAGGAAATGACCCCTGGTCTTATTATATAGCTTCTTTGCTTTATATGCATGGTACCCGAAAGAGTCAGCACTGGCATAGACCAGTTGGTAGAGTGCTTGACCTGACTTGAGGTGTGGTGCCATTTTCAGAAAGGGGCTCACCCCCCTCAATCTTCCCCAAGCCAAACGTAACCCGCTCTGCTATAGCCCTCGAGGGGGCCCAATAAATTTCCTGGGCTTTCTCTAGAGGTACAGGGCCAAACTTCCCATCTTTGAGCATTCCACATCCAAATCTCCCAAGCAATTGTTTGTTTTAAAACAACTGTGTCCCCCCCAAAAAAAATTTTGGATAATGACCAGGGCGCGGTGGGGGGAATGGGCGGCTTTAACCTTTTTTTACTTGTACTGCGTTCCTGACCCAAAAAAATGCCTCCACAAGTGGCTATTTGCCCCATTGGGTCAAACATAAAGACCGTTTCAGGTCAGGAAAGGGCGGGATTCCTTGGACCACATCAGTGTATCATGAGTAGAATATCTATGATCTGTGAGACCCAGGTTTGAATCCCCACTCTACCATGGAAGTCTGCTTGGCAATCTTAGGCCAGTGTCAGCTAGGCCTCCTGCCTGGTTGTCATGAGATGGGGGGGGCTGCGTTGGAATGCTAAGTTTAGTTTCTGCTGAGCCTACTTTGGTTTTTTTATCTGTCATACTCTGTCTTGTCTTTCTCCCGGGAAATGTTACCCGTTACTTTGGTGGGCTTTTGCTGTCTACCTGTTTGGCTAAGGGGCCATCAGGGGACCCTTTGAGTTATGTACCCTGTTTCCCCGAAAATAAGACCTACCCAAAAAATAAGCCCTAGCAGGATTTCTATGCATTTGTGGTATAAGCCCTAGTGTGTCTTCTTGAGAAAAAATAAATATAAGACAGTGTCTTATTTTCGGAAAAACACGGTATATCTATTTGCTTCGCGCGCTTTCTCCTCAGTTCTAACACGGTATCGTTAAGGTACCTGTTGCATTACTGTCTCAATAAACTTTACTTCTCTGAACGAACGTTGTTGGGAACTGATTGGCTCAGGAGTCTGACAGCCAGTAGCCCACACTCAAGACTAACTTACCTCACAGGTTGTTATGAGGATAAAATAGAGGAGAGGAGAACGATGTACGCTCCTTTGTGTCCCCCTTGGGGAGAAAGGTGTGGTGTCAATCAATAAATGAAATGGCACTTTCCATTCCGAATCGGGCCCCTGTGCCACTGTTACTTCAAAAAAGAAAAAAAAAATTATTGGAAGCTCCGGACATGGAAGTTGTGGTGTTGATTTGCTCTGTACTCCCAAAGGTGTGACTTCTCCTGAAATGAGAAATGCTGTGTGAGAAGCTCCCTAGAATGTTAGAATCTAAACATGAGCTGAGGTGATATCATTACTGTGGGGAACCTGATATTTAAATGTATAGAAGTGGCTATGGGGCGTGAGTTTCTCTTGAACTGTAAAGCAGGGCTAGTTTGGACCTACCTTGGAAGAGGTTTTGTGTGGAAATATGAGGAAATATGGAATTTCTGTTATCACTTTCTGAGGCAAAGGGATAAGGCACAGAAACTTAAATTGCGTGTTAAGTGCCATCATGTTTAGTGTAGTGGAGAGTCAGTTTGGTGTAATGGTTAGGAGTGCGGACTGTAATCGGGGATAACTGGCTTTGATTCCCCACTCCTCCACATGAATCTGCTGGGGTGACCTTGGGTCAGTCACAAGTTCTCTCAGAACTGTTCCCTCAGGAGCAGTTCTCGACAGAGCTCTCTCAGCCCCACCTACCTCACAGGGTGTCTGTGGTGGGGAGGGGAAGGGAAAGGAGATTGTAAGCCGCTCTGAGACTCCTTTGGGTAGTGGAGGGCGAGAGCTCTTTTCCAATCTCTTCTCTTTTTCTTCTTCAAGTCACTTCCAATTTATGGCAACCCTATGAATTAATGACCTCCAAAGCACCCTGTCATTAGCAGCCATTCTCAGGTCTTGCAAACTGAGGGCCTTTGTGGCTTCCTTGATTGAGTCCATCCATCTCAGGTTGGGTCTTCCTCTTTTCCTGCTGCCTTCGACGTCTCCTAGCGTGATTGTCTTTTCCTGTGACTCTTGTCTTCTCTCGATGTGGCCAAAGTACAGCAGCCTCAGTTCAGTCATTCTTCTAGGGAGAGTTCAGACTTGATTTCATCTAGAACCTGCTTCTATGGATCTGAATGAGTAAACCAGAATACCTTCAGTGGGGGGGAAAGAGATTGTCTGTAGGTACTTCCTGGGGTCAGTCTGGTGGGGGTGGCTTTTTTGTTGTTGTTGCCATAACCTGCTAAAAAGTATAATTGCATTTTAGGTGTCGCTCTTGCTGTTGTGCTCAGTGATGTCCGACACATTAGCGATAAAGTGTTCCTGGAAGCTGCAAAGGTCAGTGGTTTTATGGGGGGATGATTGGGGGCTGAAACGGCCGTGCATATGTCACAGTGTCTTGGTAAGCGGAGGGCTTTCCAAGGTCATCTGCACACGGGCTGTTTGCCCCAGCTTATATTTATATTTATATATTTAATTTATAGCCCGCTCTCCCCGCCGAAGCGGGCTCAGGGCGGCTTACAGTCAGGCACCAGCCAACACATATAACATTTAAAACCATTTAAAACATTCTACAAAAATACAATATAAGGTGCTCCAGATGTTCCAGTTGATCTTCTATCGAGATGACGTATGCTGCTGCTCTACCGACTCAGTGTCATCTAAATGCTATAGGGCAGGCCAGGGGTCATTTCGTAGAAAAAGAGGTGCAGGAACTCATTAGTATAACTCATTAGCATATGCCACACCCCCTGACATCACCGGAAGTGTGTCAGAAGGCAACACCCCCACCGCTCAGGCTCCACTGGACTGTTTTGGATTGCTAGCTATTGGGGAGGGGGGAAGTGCAGATCTGCCCTCGCAGAGGAGGGAGAGTTTGTACCTGAATAAAACTTGGTCTTAAAAAAGGTGCCACTGGACTGTTTTGGACCAGAGGGGTGGGGGCTCTGCAACTTACCTGGCTGCTTCTTGCTCTGACTGAGGGCTGCTGGGAGCAGGGGGTGGAGCTTGTTGCATGTGCCCACCCCCTGGGCTCTTTACTGCCGGAGCTCCGCTCCTGTGCGCTCCTGCAGGAAATGACCCCTGGGGCAGGCATGTCCAACTTCGAACAGGTAGTGATCTGTTTTTTCTGGCCAAAAGTGCCGGTGATCTACCACCATGAAAATAAACTTTCAAATTAGATTTTAACCCACTAAAGTTGGGTCCCCCCCCCAATATTTATAATGCACCTTCTGTCATTTACTGGTAAGCAAAATAAGCTCTTCTTTGGAACACTCGTCTCCGTTATACTGGGGTGCCTGGGTGCTAGGTTAGTATGAACACTGGCCGAATCTGGTCCAAAACTGTCACGGTCCCAAAGTATTAAAGATCAACAGGAACCGAAGACCTCTGGATGATGCCAAAACCACACATGCAGTTCTAAAAGTAAAAAATAAGAATTCATCATACTGGCACCAATAATCAAACACCACCAAACAGTCATAAAAAACCCCTCCAAACACCTGTCCACCAAACCAGGAGACCCAAGTGGGGCTGGTGATCTACCTCTGACCCCTCCACGATCTACTGGTAGATCACGATCTACCTGTTGGACATACCTGCTACAGGGAAACAAGGATTCTCCCCCTCCTCCACTTCCCCCGAATGTTGTGGTGCTTCCACGCCCCTGAGGGGTTTTCCCTCCTCTTTCCTGCAATCTTTCCCAAATCTGTGATAGATCGCTGCAAGGCCAGGATTTAGGGACCCCTGCAAGGGGTCAGGATGGCAGCTGTGTGGACAATCCAACCCACAACACTGCTGTCTTCCCTGCCCTGTCCCCCTTGGCAGTGATTTCCCACCCTGCCGCAAGACGGCTTTTTCAAAAATCGGCAGTTGAATATCATTATAGTGTTATAACAATCTGGATGTCGGGGTCTCTGATTTCCCAGTTTTCATTACAACAACAAAAAAAAAGTCTAGCTCCTTTTCATTGCAGCAATATGTCTGATCCAGCAGGGCTCTTCTTATGGTCTTATAACTTAGGAGCTCAGGCTTTGCGTGTGGCTACTGTGGAAAGTATAGCCGGTAGCCACGTCCCTCTGTGTGTGTGTGCGCGTGCTATCCTTTAAAATATTGTTTTCTCTGCATTTAAAGACGCTGACTGAGCAGCTGAGTGAGGAGGAGCTAGCCCAGGGAAGGCTGTACCCACGGCTCAGCAACATCAGAGAGGTCTCCATTAACATCGCTGTGAAAGTAAGTGTGCACTTCAAAGGGAAATGGAGAGAAGGTGTCCCAAAAGATGTTCAGTGCATCGGCGTTCTTCTTAATAGCAGGGGCTGAAGGGGGAGGGATGTTCAGGTATTTTGGTAATCAGAAACGCTTCCATGGAATGAGCATGAACATTTTGCTCTACTTGCTTGGAGAGGATTTGGCCAATAGCCAGGCTACCTCAATGGGACCTTCTGCCTAGAGAGGCAGCATACCTCTGGGTACTAGATGGAGGTTAGACTGGCTTCCTTAGGCCACAACCTGGGTGTTTCTGAAGACCAAAACAGACAAGATGCTGGGAAGTCTGTGAATGGAAGAGAGTACTGCTTTCACACAACAGGTAGTCGCCTTGTGGAACTCATTATTGCAAGATGCGGTCATGGCCAGGGTTCCCTCTAAGCTGAGTTAGTGTGAGCTAGCTCATAGTTTTTTAGCCTCCGGCTCACACATTTTTGTCTCGGCTCAGGAAGGAGGGCTCCAGAGCAAACTGATTCATGCAGCAGCCAAATCGCTCGCTCACAACTTGAATGCCAGGAGCTCACAAAGTAGAACTTTTGCTCACAAGACTTCACGGCTTAGAGGGAACATTGGTCATGGCTAGTGGCTAAACAGGATTGGATGGACTTCTGGAGGAAAGGTCTATTGTTAGCTATTGGCCCTGATAACCAAATCGGACTTCCAGGGTCAGGGTTCAGAATTCCTGCAATGGTTGGATCCTTGGAACATTCGGCAGGGGAGAATAGTGGGGTGGGGCCTTCCCTCTGGCATCAAACTGCTCACTGTTGGAAACCCGATGTGGGACTAATTGGGCTACTCAGATGTCCATGCCTTCCCAGAGTCCTTCAAAGCTGAATTAGTGACATGTGAGGACCTGTTACAGATTGAGGCAATGTGGGCAGGGGTTTTCCACCCTTCTGCCTTCGTGCAATTTTGTTAGTTAAATCAGGGGTCCCTAAACTTTTTTGAGCCCATGGGCACGTTTGGAATTTCGACACAGGGTGGTGGACGCAGCCAGAAAATGACTGTCGCGGGTGAGGGAGCCTCAGACCAGACAGATGGATGTCCTAGTGCGGGGGACAAACGGAGTAATTTGAAAAATACACTCGGAAAGAGGAATGTGAGAGAGAATGAAACAATGCTGAAACAGTGCTGCTTTAATCCGCCGAGTCCATTGGATGTTCAGCGGCTAATCAGAAACCCTGCTTGGCAAGAGCCCCAACTGGCCCCACCAACTTTCTAAAAAATACTTGGTGGGCACCAGGAAAGGTGTTGGTGGGGGCCGTGGTCAGTGTTCCCTCTAAACTGAGTCAGTGTGAGCTAGCTCACAGTTTTTTAGCCTCCGGCTCACAGATTTTTGTCTTCGCTCAAGAAGGAAGGCTCCAGAGCAAAACTAATTTATGCAGTAGCCAAGTCGCTCGCTCACAACTCTAATGCCGGCAGCTCACAAAGTAGAATTTTGGCTCACAAGACTCCACCGCTTAGAGGGAACGTTGGCCGTGGTGCCCCTGGGCGCCACATTGGGGAGCTCTCATGTCCAGGGCAAAGGGCAGTACAGGGGACTGCTATTGGCTAATAAAATAGGAGAGGAGCTAAGCCCCCCCCATACAGCCCTGCGTAGCTGTAATTCACTTTAAAAAGACTCTGGGATAATTTATTTATTCTGGGCCTGGGTCACACGGGCAAGAAAATGCGGGGGGGAAGCGTGGCTGTTTGCCCCGGGGCAAAATAACGTGCGATTGCACCAGCAGACGTATCGTGGAGGTCTCATGGAGGTCCCATGTTAGGGGGGAGGTGCCGAGCACACCACAATCCTGCACCGCGGCAAAGAAGCGGCGCAGCAAACGGGTGGTTTTTTCCGGACACCAAAGTGTGCACATGCCCCGTTGGGTGTTTGTGCGCATCCCATGGACAGTTGGAAAAAAACCCCTTTATATGAGGGGGCATGGGCGGGCGCCGGAACTACCACCTGCCCTTGCCCCGCGGTTACCCTGGAAACTAGTACCTCCGAGGTACTAGTTTTTTGCCATGCAGTTTCGGCTGGAAGCCTCGGTTGAGCCACGGGAGTGCTACGCTTCCCAGATGTGGTGAGATCGCGCCCGGAAAATCCGCCTATCTTCCGTCCCTCTAGCGTGCCTAATGCTCCGTGTGACCGCAGCCCTGGTACCTTTTATCCCACCCTTTGTTCAAGGAGCTCCGGGCAGCACACCTGGATTCTCCCCTTAAGACATTGTATCCTACCCTGACCTGGATAGCCCAAGCTAGCCTGATCTCATCAGATCTCATCAGATCTCGAAAGCTAAGCAGGGTCAGCCTTGGCTAGTATTTGGAAGGGTGACCTCCAAGGAATACCAGGGCTGTGACGCAGAGGCATGTGACCGCAGCCCTGGTACCTTTTATCCCACCCTTTGTTCAAGAAGCTCCGGGCAGCACACCTGGAGTCTCCCCTTAAGACATTGTATCCTACCCTGACCTGGATAGCCCAGGCTAGCCCGATCTCATCAGATCTCATCGGATCTCGAAAGCTAAGCAGGGTCGGCCTTGGCTAGTATTTGGAAGGGTGACCTCCAGGGAATACCAGGGCTGTGACGCAGAGGCAGGCAATGGCAGACCGCCTCTGAAACGTCTTTCACCTTAAAAACAAGTCTAGCGCAAAACCTAGTGTGCATAATGCTAAAAGAGCTACTGGCAGCCAGGATCTCCAGGCTATACGACACACACTGCCATACGATGATGATGATGGCATTGTATCCTCATGCCAGCCATAAGAACATAAGAGCCAAAGGCCCATCCAGTCCAACACTCTGTGTCACACAGTGGCCAGAAATACCAGGTGCCCTCAGGAGGTCCACCAGTGGGGCCAGGACACTAGGAGCCCTGTGAGGTGGGCTAGGTTGAGAGAGAATTATTGGCCCAAGGCCACCCAGGAAGTGGGGATTTGAACCCAGGTCTCCCCACTCCCAGTCCAGCACCCTAGCCACTGCATGGCAATCTCCGTCGTGTCTAATCTGACCTTCAAAGGTATTTGGTCATTGCAAACAGAATGCTCAACTAGTTGGATGTTGGTTTGGTCCTGCAGGGAGAAATCTGCCCATTTTTCAGGGAAAGAAAAAGATGTGTCCTTTTTTGGTCTCGTTTTGGTCTTGTCTTTTTAATCCCCAAGGGATGAGCAAACCAATAATTGACTGTTTTTTCCCCTTCAGGTTATGAAGTATTTGTACGCTAACCACATGGCTTTCCATTATCCCGAGCCCAAGGACAAGAACCAGTACGTCTGGTCCAACGTCTGGACCAACGAATACGAATCCTTCCTGCCTGATTTGTATGACTGGCCAGCGTCTATATCGTACCCACCGAAAACGCAATGACTTTGCCTCAGGATGGATTCCTCAGGTAGCACTTGAATTCTGCAGGGAGCCCCTCCTCAGAGCATTTTTCCGGATTATAAGACTCGTAGCTTACTTTCCCCGTTTTTCTTCTAAAATTCCCTTTGTAACCGTCCCTCCAGTTTCTCGCCACATGGATTTCGTCTGACAGTGAAGACCTGGATTCCCACCGATGGACTAATTGAACACAGAAAGTTGCTTTAGATATTTTAAAGTTCAGTTCGACATCCCACGTTTCAAAGACGATTTAACCACGTACAGGGGATCCATAACCCTTTCTTGGCATCTCGTCTTAGGCCTCATTTTATATGTTTGGCAGAATCAAAATGGAGGTGCTTTTTCTGGATTGTGTCCCTTCAGGTGATAGATGGCAGGTTGTGTATTTAAGTGCTTCTCCTGTGCGTGCGGAAAAATTCAGGGAGAAGAGTGTGGCTTAGCTTTCCGGCGTTCTATTTTTCTACTCGCAGGCGGTTCGTTTTGCCGAATGTTCAGATACTCAATCCTCCGCTGCGGCTTGAAGTAGCACAGCCTAGAAGAATCTTTACCACCCAGCCTTTCTCCAAGTACAAGAGGACCATATGCTTCCTTTCCAGAGGTCTCCCTTTTGTGCAGTAATTTCCTTTTGTGATCTGTTTGAGCCTTCCACTTGTCAGATACGCTGAATTTGTGACAATAGTCAAAGACAGACTTGCCCAGAAAGGAATTTCCCCCCCTGGAGGACAAGACCCACGTGTCCCAAGTTTCTGAGCTTCAAGCGAGCAGCTCAGGTTTTGTGAGTGCACCTGGCAGAACTCATTATTCTGAGTAAGTGTGATTGAGATAGCCAGAACACAGATGGGTCTGAATTTGAAACTGTCACTGTGTGACTTCGGTTATGTGACCTTCCTTTATTTATCCCTCCTGCCCTGCAAGCAAGAAGGCATACCCGTGGGGTGTGAGGTTTTTTTTACTCACTTTGCCTTTTCAAGCTGTTGCTGTTCAGCATTGTTGCAATCCTTAGCTTCAGTTTCAGGGGCTCCGATGCATGCCCACAGCCCCATCCCATCTCCGCTCTCATTGGAGGACCTCTCCCCCCGCCCCTTGGGACGTCAGTTCTCCAGTCCTGTAAGTGGGGCAGTCAGTTCACCCGGAATCCTGCCTCGGACACCCTCCTTGGACCTTTGGATCGGAGCCGCTATTCATCAGTCAGAGTTCTTTATTTTATAGTTGTTTGTTTGAAACAGTTGCCAGCCAGGCCTTTTAGAAAACACAGATATTCCTGGAAAACAGAAAGCACTTCTGTTGGAGACATGCATCTTAAATGCAGGAGGGAAAGTGGTTTCCCAGCCAAGGAAACTGTGAATGTAGCATCGGTTTGAAAAGTTCTGCGTTGCCAGGGATCAACGGTGGATCTACGCGGCGGCCTGAATTAACCACAGCTGGGAAAGCGAGCTCAGTCCCGGGTGGATTTTATTAACAACGTTGTTTATAGTTCATGTTTTTCCCCCTTAAAAGAAAACTCAAAGGGAGATAGCAGCATAATGCAAAATGCAAACAGAGAAGCATATCACTAAAATGCGTAACAATAGCATGGAATGAAATACTGAAGTGTGACCGGCCTTAAGTCCGTTAATAGTTGTCAGCTCCATGAAATGCCTGTCGTAAACAGAGAGGTTGTAAACTCATAACATGTTCTTGAAGGGAAGATCGTAGCTGTTTCCATACCTTTCACCGCCACATCCACAGTGCCGTTGGAATGATTGTCAGGGGCAATCCTGTTTTATTTGAGCTGACCCAACATCAAACCAAACCTTGACGTCAGTGCACTGATCCACACCCAGATGTGTGCCATGTCAGCGAGCATCGGAGCATGGTTTATATACACCATTGTGCTGCCATGCCGTGTCGATTGCACATCTCCATCTGTCGGTGCACTTCTTCATGCAAATCTGTCACACGTGCTCTGCATGGATAACCAGTTTCTTTTGCACGCGGGTTTTGGCAGCTCTGTGCTCACATATGGTCTTGGGAAACGTGATGGTGTTTCCCCCTGTTTGCTATTGAGCACTTCCTTTATGCAGGAGGAAATAAATCAGGCAATGAACTAATTGTGCGCTAGAGTGGCGCAAGTGCAAGATGGGTTTTTCTGGTCTTCCTGTTTCGAGTATAAGTGAGAGATCGGGGGGTTTTCCTGTTGGCGTTTTTGCTCTGCTGTGGCTTGGCTGTGGGCTGACTCCTTATCCCAGCCCTGCCTTCCCTCTTTTTGCATTGCTTTTCTCATCCAAAATGGTTGCACGCTTGTGAAGTAGAGAGACGGATTTTTTTGCATTAGCGGAAGGAACGAAACACAGAACGAACCACTGAGCTGGAGCTTCCCTGAGAGATTCTCCATAGGAATGGTGGCTGCACAAAGAAACGATTTGTTCTTGGAAGGAAGTCTCATGGGTTTCATTGGGGGGGGGGGTTATGATCTTCTCAGTGGGCAATGCCTACACCGCATTTGTCTTCAGTATCAGCTGCTTGCCATGAAGGGCTTTAGGGCAGGGCTGTACGTATGGTAAAGAAGCAGCCTGCAATATCCTGCATATCTGGAGCATTTTAGAAGGGATTTCCCAGGTTATGGTTTTAAAAAGCAAGATCCCCTCTTATGGTCCACAGTTGGGTCTGAAAGGAGCCTGGCTATGTTTTAACAAGGCCTGCAAAATTAGACATGCTGTTTTAGAAACTTTGGAAATGACTTTCTAGTAATTAGTACCTGATTTTGGAGCTAAGCACATTAACACACATGACCAGGTATGTACCCAGTGATTTCCCCCCCATACTCCACTTCTAAGGATTAGTTTTACATGATCAGACCCCTGTTTTGCCTGTTAATAGCGGACTTAGCCCCTTCAGATTTTAGGTGGGGACCTTGTGTAAATATTCCTCAAAAGAAAAATGAACAAAAAAAATATTAACCTTTTACCCTTTGGGAGGAAGCTAGACTTTAATCTTTCTCCCTCATATATTAATTTTGTAAGTATAAGATTTTTTAAAAAAAATATATGGTGGAGTATTCAGATGTTCAGTCCCCCACCCCTTGCATCTCAGTTGGTAAAGTCCAGAAGCAGATAAGTCAAATGTGCATGCTGATTGTGTAGCTCAGTTTTGATTTGTTTGGTCTTCTCTGGGAAGGTGATCTCGACCCATCTTCTATTTTGTCACTTAGAGGAAGATCTTTGACGGGAATACATAAAATGCAATTTGGGTATAGATTTAATAATTGGGAAAGGAAGGCAGTGTCGCATTGTCTGATATATATTTGTTGATGAAGAAGTGTCTTTTGTGTTCCTCTGTTGAACTTTTGGCAAACCGTTGGGTGTTGAAGCTGCTATTTAGAACTGGGCGATCTAAAAAGTTCCCTCGTAGTCTGGATTTATTTCGGCCACACGATGGTGTCACTTGCCATTTTCTTCATTCTGTAAAGTTATTTCGTTCGTTGGCCTTACAGCGTGGTTTTCTTTCTTGCACTTTCCTGTTTCCCCCATCCCATTTATTTAAAAGAGGTTTAAATTATTACCAAGGCTGCTTTTTAACAATCCCTCTTAAGCCTTGTATGCGAAGAGGGGCCTTTCTCGGTCATCCTTTCCTGTGCCAAAAGCATAACTGTCCCCATTAAAACAGCCTCTAAGAGAACTGTCCTTCATAGGAAATGACTTGTACATCTGTTGTTGGATTTGCCGGTCTTAGTTCGCTCAACAGGAGCTTGGGATTTTTCGGATGAAATTCTTTGTTGGGCAAAAACCATGGCCCAAGCCTCCTCTCTCTTGCTGTTGAAACTTCAGCGGCAGCGGACCTTTTGGGGAGTCCCATTCGCACAACCGGCTGTGTCAGTCATGTGTGTGCTGTTACTATACATAGGATCCAACTGATATGACTCTGGCAGCCCCTGCAGACTTCTGTCCCACACCCCTCCCTGCTATTATTAAGGATAGGGGACTCTCAGAGGTAATATGGAGTGTACAGCAAGTGGAAATAGATGAAAATCTGCCCCCAGTGTACACTTTTATTGATGAAAGAGCTTGCTTGAAGAAGATCGGGGTGATCTATGCCAATTTTATTTTAGCTGCAGGCTGTTGTGCCACGCCTTGCTCTCTTTTGGAGGGTTCCCCGAAGCTCAGGAACAGCGCAGGATAAGAGGAGTGATCCATTACGTCAGTGCTTCTTATGCATCGCTTGTAGCTTCCAACTCTGTTTTCAGATCCAGGCTGAATTCCACACGGATGGCTTTCCAAACTGCCATGCTCGGCCCTGGCTGATGCTGTAGAAAGTCAGCATGGGCCTTTCTTGCACGTGTGTGGTTCTGAGATCGTACACACAGGGCAAAGGAACCCTTCCTGAAAAGGAGAAATTAAGGGTCCGCTTTTCCATTTTCCTGTGAGACCCCATAAAAAATGAGGAAGCACGGCTACCTGTAATAAGTCAGAAAGTCGCCGCGGGGGTCCAAGAGCATGAAACCAAAGGTCAATGACGAGACATTTCATGTGATAGATTTTGTACATTTTATAATAAACTGTGGGAAACTGTTTAAAGACGATAGCAATTCTCACGTTGTCGAAATGCAGACTTTTAGGATGTAACTGTTTCCACTCCCCCTGCAGAATACGATTTATTCCAAAACAGTCTCTTGGGCGGCTGATACGCAACACTCTGGTTAAAGGATTTTGAGATTTATTTTTCTCCTTTTGTAATATTGTAATTGTATTGATGTGTTACGGCCTTCTATTTTCATAGTAAAAGCCCTTTCCTTTAGCCTGAATTGTGTTTTATTGTCACGGGTTAAGTCCTCTTCCGTAAAAAGCCTTCACCCCCAAACCTACTCATTCATAAATATGGTTTCTGTACATTTCTCTGCTGCTAAGTAGTACTCACTGGGATCTAGGCTTATTATTTCCCTGGTGCAGATGGGGGGAGGGGATATCTTGCCCCCAGCTCCTGTTGCTCACCATCACTGATAGTGTCACACACACTGCTATGTCACATCCAGTGAAAACCGGAAAGAGACATAGGGTAGCTCTACCACAGAATTTCTGGTGGTTCCTAGTCGTTTAACCAGAAATGACATAGTGGCCCACCTGATATCACATAGTCCCTCCTGCCAGTTGCCTGGCAACCCTACTTGGAGCCTAGGCCTTGTACAGATTTAGAGCAGGAGTCCATAACCTTGTGGAGCCTGCAGGTACTTCTATAACTTTGTGAAAGGGCTCAGGTGAGGTCTGCCATTACAGAATGGCTGCCATGGGTGGGTGGGGCCAATCATAAACCATTGTGATTCAAACTTGGGTCTCCCAGATCTTAGTATGACACTCAAGCCACAACAACACGCTAAAATTGATACTGAGGAATTTCACATTACCCTTTTTAACCCGTTTTGAAGCCGTTTTTGATCCGTCATGGAGTAAACCGGCATAGGGCTGCCATTTCACACATGGCTTTCCCCTTCCGGTAAAGAGCTGGATCTAAAGTGGTTTGCCATTTCAGACTGCACCGCTTTTTCCCGCTTTCCCCCCGCTGTTTTTCGCCTGTGCATTCGCTTTAGAACGCTATAGCGCTATAGCACTATAACAAAATACTCCAGGCATTCCAATGGGGTTGATATAATGCTGTTCCGTTATAGTGCTATAACGCTATAACGTTATAAAGCAAACGTTCAAAAAAAAATAGCTGGAGATTGCCCGCGCAGGTGAAAAGCAGTGGGAAAAAGTGCATCCTAACCGGGAGAGGAAACTGAAGACTACTTGGAAGTGGTTGACCGGTAAAACGCTTCAGCCCCGTTTCCTAAACAGGACAGAAGCGTTTGTGT